GTGACCAACATGCTGACTGACTGACACACTGACTTCTACTTACTGACACTGTGACCAACATGCCGACTGACACTTACTCACAGTGACCAACATGCTGACTGACAAATTGTGTCAGAAATTAACACTTAATAAGCATTTATATTTTATTATGTTTATAGTTTTGTACCCATTAATGTATCAGCTGTAATCCAGCCACCTCCTCTCTCCTGTCCCCCATCTGTCTGAATACTCTCCGGTCCTGCTCTGTACAGTTGGACTGTGAGGAAAACTAGCCATAACAGCCCTGTACTCTCACACCAAACAATAAAAGTCATGGTTAATTAAGAGTGTGTGCCTCTATAGGGAGTGTGTGTCTATAGGAGTATTAAGAGACATAAAAACCCTCATGTTACTGTACTTAAACCCCTGGAGCTGGCACACTGCAAATCGGCAAGTAAACAGAACAAGATAATGATCTTATCTTAAAAGGGAAATTAGCATTACCCTGTGATGTTCCTGATCAGTATAGATTCAAGTTTATCTGGAAAACATCCAACATGTATCAGAGTAGTAAGACAATATATGTGGAGCATCTTCCTGAAGGTGAAGTCATTCGCCCAGGCTGGTGGATAGAGGGCTGGAGCCAGACCACACACCTGCTCCCTCGCAGAGCTGCAGAGGCCTGCTGGAGTCCATCAGCGTCAACTCACGCATGCTGAACATCCCTGCCAGACATGGACTTCTGGAACCTCTGATCTCCTGCTTTGAACCCACACTGCCGGAGAAGGTTTGCGTGTCTCTGAGCACACAACACACACACACGCACGCACACTGTCGGAGAGAGTCCGTGTGTCTCTGAACACACACACACACACGCACACTGCCGGAGAGAGTCCGTGTGTCTCTGAACACACACACACACGCACACTGCCAGAGAGAGTCCGTGTGTCTCTGAACACACACACACACACACTGCCAGAGAGGGTCCGCGTGTATCTGAGCACACACACACACTCACACAATGCACGCACGCATGCACGCTGCTGGAGAGGGTCCGCGTGTATCTGAGCACACAACACACACAATGCACGCACGCATGTACGCTGCTGGAGAGGGTCTGCGTGTCTCTGAACACACAACACACACAACGCATGCACGCACGCTGCCGGAGAGGGTCCGTGTGTCTCTGACCACACACACACACTGGCAGAAAGGGTCTTGACACCATGCGATTTCAGAGACATTGTGCACAATATTGAGAACAAGATTGAAATTATGAATCTGAATAAAGACAAAATAATTTTGAAAATACAGCGCTCTGTCCGGGACAGTTTTTAATTTCCTAAGAAACACGTAACACAAAGTCCACACAGAGTCCAAACAAAAAATGAACATCACACTCCGACCCTCA